ACAGTAGATGCGCGTTTTCATCTATTTTCGTCAGAATCAACCCATAAACTTTAAAGAAAGTTTTCTCTTATTTATGCCAGTTAATTTCCTTCCGAATTTCAGACAGCTTGGATTGGTAAGCTTTTGGTTTCAATATATCGCTGAAAACTTCTTTTTGGAGTTATTTGAGATTTAATACCGTACAATTAGCCGTTTGCCAGAAAATCCAGGCTAAGAACTATTTAATGTGAGAAACCAAATTTAATTTTGATAATGAAAAAGTTGAAATGCAAAATTATTCGACTAAGACTATAATTTCAAATTAACACGAGGACAGACTTATCATTTGCTCGAAGACTGACAAAATATCCGTATTCTCTAAGGTGCATTAAGCCCTCATCTACTGATTCTGTACGAACAACTGCTTTTATAGTTGTTTAGTTTTCTGGAGAATTTCAACACTCCTAAATACCAGGGGAGAAATTAAACTGAGTGATAATGAATTGTAAAAATCAACAGCCATTATCGATCTGGGGCTCCTCTTTTTCTCACGGGGATAGTTGCAGTGTTTAGGGGAAATAAAAGGTACATAAAAGATAATCTGTCTGCCCAGGCTAGACCCGAAGTAAGGTTATCAGGGATGCGCAGAGTACAGTTCCAGCATAGACCATCACGCTTTGCCTATGAATGAAATGAAATGGTTGACCTTAACACTATTTTAACCAGAGAAAGTATACCTGTTGGTACTTAAAAATGAAGCAATTGGTTCACTTTTGTAAAGAAAATAATAATATTTGATATTTACGTTGATTAATTTTTTTAAAACTTATTGAAAGATTAAGGAGTACAGTAAAGGTTCTATGTTATTAATCGAGACTTACCATACTTTTATTTCTTTGTAGCTTCTTCGTAAAGTGCATTGATTGCTAAAATTAAGGAGGCTGGGGACCGGGTCAACAAATTATCCATCGCATCAGATATAACTTCATTTTTAGCTCTACTGGTCAGAGACCAGAAGAGCTTATTCGTCCGTCCGTCTGAAATTAATTTTTTTATTAAATTTCAATATAACTTAGCACACAAGTAGACTACACTAAGATACATAAAATAGTGCATCGGTTTTTGATTTCGATGAACGGTGTTGCCATGGTTACTAAAAATAGAATTTTCTTTGAAATTCCTTTAAAACGCTACTCCTCCTACAGTTTTGGTCTGATTTCAATATTACTTGGCACACACGTAGACTACACTAAGATATATAAAATAGTGCATCGGTTTTTGATTTCGATGAACGGTGTTGCCATGGTTACTAAAAATAGAATTTTCTTTGAAATTCCTTTAAAACGCTACTCCTCCTTTGATTTCAATATTATTAGACTACACTATAAAGATACATAAAATAGTGCATCGGTTTTTGATTTCGATGAACGGTGTTGCCATGGTTACTAAAAATAGAATTTTCTTTGAAATTCCTTTAAAATGCTACGCCTCCTACAGTTTTGATTTGATTCCAATATTATAACTAAGATATATTTTGATTTATGAGGGATTTTGCCATGGTTACTAAAAATAGAATTTTCTGTGAAATTCCTTTAAAATGCTACTCCTTCTACAGTTTTGGTTTGATTTCAATATTATGTTATACACAAGTAGACTACACTATGATACATAAAATCGTGCATTTGTTTTTTATTTTGATGAATGGTGTTGCCATGGAAAAATTTGAAATTTCTTTAAAACGCTATTACAGTTTTGATTTGATTTCAATATTACTTGGCACACAAGTAGACTAGACTAAGATACATAAAATAGTGCATTGGATTTTAATTTCAATGAACAATGTTGCCATGGTTACTCAAAATTGAATTTTCTTTGAAATTCCTTTAAAACGCTAGTCATCCTACAGTTTTGGTCTGATGGCAATGGCTTCTTTTCTCATCCTTTGTTATAAGTACAAAGCAGTAGAGCTACAGTCTCGACAGAGACTTCTGGTTTATTAATGATATCTTAAGCTCTCAACTACCATTTGGCAAAGAAAATTTTCATTAATTTTTGTTTTAAAATTTTATATTTTTTGTATATCTTCATATGGAACTCTTCTTCTAAAGGAGAACAATAAAGTCTAAAAATGGCCACAACCCCCAGCCCTCTTAATATCATTACTATCTGTGTTTTATATAATTTTTGAAAATAACTGCCCACGCCAGACATTTCGTGATCTTCATTTAGTACGTATTAATCTGTATGTTCCGGGGATTAAAGACGGGACTAATTAGATTTCATTCAATGTAATTCACTAAAGAATATTAAAGAAGAAATGAAATATCAATCTTGCAGCAGTGAAGTAGTTAAAGCTTTTTACGCGAGGTGATAAATATACGAAATTAAAATACATAAAAAAGTTAAGACATTTTAGATATCTGAAACAAAAATGGACATCTACAAAAGTCTCATTTACAGGTCGTAAAGTATCCCGCCGTTCCAGCATCTCTCGACCGTCCATTAACAATTAAATTCAGCCCGCGTTTTGGTTTCCTATCAATGTTGTTAAATGGTGGTGATTCCAAAAATTCTTTTTCCTCTCTTGAACTTCATTTTCCCACGCTTCCTCGCATTTTATTTTAATGCACAATGGTAAAACAGATATACGGCCCCTGTGGCCAGCACGTGCATGCGTTTTCCGGTCAGTCAGACGTGTGCCTACTTATTTATTATTTTACTTGAAATTCTGTTTTAGGTTTCATCAAAACCATCCAAGCTTTCACCTTGTAACGGTGTGTGGAATTTTCCTGTAATTAGCGCATCCTCTGTCTTTTACCATTCTTCTGGGTGAATGATCGAAAATTGAGGATTAAACATTTACATCAATTCAAGATGTGCTTGATCGAACATTAACTTCATCCTGTTAATACACAATTCACTTTCACTTAATTTACTCCAAGGTTCGTTTCATTTTTCGAGAAATGGAATAAATAATAAGTTTGTTGAGATTTTTTTGAGGATCTTCATTAGAGAGATATTAAAAACAGTATATATTTTGAATTCATTAAGGATCGAAGAGCATGGGCCTATGATCTGTATTTTTCTCCCATCTAAAAAACAGATACTAGTTAGTAGTTTTATCACCCTTTATCTTCTCGACTGTCTTTGAATTTTAGAATTATCATATCTTACAGGTTGTTGTGACATGAAATGTTATGCCACACATTTAACTGTCAAGTAATGACAAACAGTTGACCTTTCACCTTAAGGACCCTCTGCTAACAGATTTGATGCATAAATTTGCTTATGTCATAATTCTTAACACATAGGAGTGAATTGTTTCGAGTTTTACCCCGTACCGTAACCAATTTTTTAAACATATTCTGTCTGTTAAGAATCATATTTTAACATACTGTTTCATAAGTACTGTAAATTTTATGAATATGCAACATGTGTATTCATTAAGACAAGGCCTTTTCTTAGGTTTGATTTTTTAATTTTTTACCTTGACATTAGAGTTTGTCCCACTTTTTTTTTAACTCTTTATCCTTGTCCTGAAGAATGATTAGTACTTAGAATTTCATGTTTCACAAATGAATCCGTAATTGTGACAAGTCCTTTCTTCGGATATCAACTTTTGACCTTGACCTTAAAGTTGGTGCTAGGGCTTTAATATTTTTACCTGTATATTTTTTGTGACATGTCCTTTCCCAGGATATGATTGATTCTAACGCTTTGATCTTGATCTTAATGGAGTTTAACCCACATTTTAAGAACTTCAATCTTGACCATAACTTTTGAACAGTTTATGCTTAAGCTTTCTTATTTCACAGGTATATTCGTTAATACAAGTCCGTTTTGGAAAACAACATTTTTGATCTCTTGACCTTGAACTTGGAGGATACTAGTAATTTGCATTTGAAACTTAACCTTTGTCATTGCCATGGGCTACCATTCAGGCTCATCAGTGTGTCACAAACACGTGTTGTATATCAAGAAATCTTGTGTTAGTTCATGTACAGTTAATGCAAACGGGAAAGTAACTGAGCTTCACATGGATGCTGGACATTCATTTTAAAAATATTTTCTTCTTTTGATTAGATTTACATTTGACTTCTGAAATTTTCAAATACATGTACCGAATGTTTTAATTAGATTTATAATTATAACCTTAATTTCTTATATTTAATAATTTTTTTCACAATCGTATATGACAATAAAAAAATTAAATATTTTTAGAATACAATGTGCTAATTGATGCCCTGAATGGGGAGTGGTGGAGCCTGCTATCATCGAATCTGGGACGAATTCAGTGGTTTATCGTCGATATTTGACAACTCAAGTAAAAACATGACAGTTAACGCATGGCAACGAGTTTTCATTCATTAACGTGCTTGCTGGAGTAAGTGTTTAAGTTGGTGCGTATATTGGTTCGTTGCAATGTTGGAACCATTTCGTTGTTTAAATGAATCAAGAAAGTGAAATCATCAAGAAAACAGCCTACGACTCTGTGATCTATTGTCGAATCTCGTTGCTCTTTATTTTAAATTAAAATCGACCAAAAATAGGTCTTACAGCATGTGGTGATGAAAATGCACAAAGAAATTCGATAGCATCTGCAGCATGGTTTGGGAAACCTTAATATTTATAGACATGACGAAACCATGAGAAACGTATACTTTAGGAAAAAATTTGGCAATCATTCTTACTGGGAAAGAGGCAATACTGTAGCATTATTGCTGAAAGAGTGAAAGGTGAGATAGATTTCATTAAATATTTACATATCATTAGGCTACTTCCCAATTGGCTTTGTTCATAGGAGATCTCAATGAATAACACTTTCAGTTTTTGGTAAGGGTTAAAAATTTCTTAAGACTATTTTGTTAGAGAGCTGGCAGTTGTAGGAAATTTGGATTTCATTTTTTTAACATCTTATGTAGAATCCTTTTTGAAATGATGTCGTTACACGTATTGAATTTTAATCACGACCAGATCGAGTTCGATTCTTGATTTCAGCAGATTCTTTTCTCTATTTGGGTTTGCTATAATTCCTGAATTGACAATCGACATTTTTTTGTTTCTGTGAGATGCGGTCTTTATGGCTGCAGACGCTTATTAAAGATGTTCCTGTGCCTGTCAAGTATTTAGACGGCGAAATATACAGCGAATGGAGAAGACTCAAAGGAGGGGGTGGCTATAATCAGCTGATTGCTGTAATGCGCGTGCCTGTCTGTACGTTTGTCTTTTCTCAGCGCCGGCAGTTTGGGACTTACATTTTACTTAATCCTCTATAGTTCATCTTTACAGATCTAATGGACAGGGAAGAAGAGGTAACTTAGTGAGAAAATAAATTTTCCAGGATTTAAAAATATATATATATATTTCATTGGTATTCCGGATGATGAATGATTGCACAATATTAGAGTGAGCTAAATTTACGTATTATATAATATTTTGGAATATCTCCGTGTTCTGGAACCACTTGTTATCTAGTCCTATCCAATGCTCTTTGCGGTGTATCGGTTCTGAATCGGTGAATGAAAAAAAAAAACTCATATGGAATGTAGAGAAAATTAGGATGCGCGGTACGTGGAAGATCAAAGATTTTCAGTTTCATTTTGTTTATGGAAGGGGATCTCTATGGATTTAATCACACATAGTCTATTGCATCACGTTCAAATCAATGTGTTCTCTGAATCATAATGCAGGATTTAACAAAACGTTATCAAAATAGACAAATAGTCTTATCAGTTCAACGTCAACTCGACTTTCAACACGAGATATAAAACTCATCTTCTTTAAATTTTCTCATTAAGGTATTTTACCTACATATTTTACCTGCTAGCTGGGAAGTGGGAGAGGCGGGTGTCTCTTCATCCGGGAACTGACATTTAAAAGAGAACTTGAACAAGAGGGAGTCGAGAACCGAAAGAAAAAGACAAGACACGACGATTTTACGGTGTAATGTCCCCCAATACTAGGGGGATAAAAAACAGAGGTCTCTTATTTGGGATACAGGGATCAGAGACATGTTTTATGTAAAGGAATCCGACCAAAATTTCCAACTGGAACAGGCATGGGACCATTCGGTTACGGATACTTTATACGAAGACTCATCGCAACTCTAGGCCTACTCCTTATAACATGCGGTAGGTATAACTATATAATTTAACTACTGGAGATTTTCCCTGAAAAAAAAAATTAAATATATTTGAGGAAAAAAAATATAAAATAATTCTTTTATCAAAATAATATCATTCAGTGGATTTTAATTTTCTCTTATTTCATTTTCCAAAATTGTTTAAAATTGAAAAAATTAAGTTTTATAATTCATTTATTTTTTTCTCTCGAGAAATTTGTGTTTATAAAATATTAATTTTACGGTTGTTGTCACATCCTACTTTTACACTGTGTCGCACCGGAAGTGACATATGTCACATTGCTTGCAAAGGAAGTAGATGGTCTTTTACATCGTCGTATTCGGTAAATCTAAATTATTGATTTAACATTTCATGATTCTTATTGCTTGTGAGGTTTTTTTTTTACTTTTGGATTTATTTCTGATAATTTTCAGACAATCTCTCTGCAATAGCATCGAAAAGTTCTCTTTTCTGTAGGCCTAATATAAACCATTCGATCACCTCCTTTGTAATTTAATCAGATCAATTGGTTTTGGATTTTCAATACGTGAATGAGGCTTAAGGGAGTGCATATAAGTCACTTCGATCTTGTTTAATTTTCTTTTAAGTGATGAAAATGGCTTTGGAAGCGTTTCAAGCTACAGACGTTCTGAATTTTTTCAAGGGTTGAACCAAAAAGAAAAGAAAATATAAAAAAGAAGGGAGTCTAAATTGAGAAAAGTTGACACCCTTCTAATCCATGCAATTGGCTAATTCCCAACAAGCCGTCTGGGTCACATAGAATCTTCTTGTGTAATCTTGCCTCTGAATTCTGATTGCCTTGCTTATGTAAATACTGTGTGGTATTCTCACAGCTCAGGTATTTTTTCATCAAATGTTTTAGGAAGTTCAGCACCTATCGGATAAATATGGCTTATAATTGGACATTATGATCTGTACTATGTCAATTAATACCTCTGTTTATATTTCTTATTGATTCCTGTTTCTCTGTATATATCAGTTTTATTTTTCAATAATTAGAAATATGCCCAGAAAATTTAAAACCTTAATGTTATGAGCACTTCATTGTGCACAAAAGAAAAAATTTTAGGCTATTCTATATTTTGAATTTATTTTTGAAATACATAAGAGATCTTCTTTTTTCATAAATTTAGCATTTTTTCCTGCATGAGTCTGTTGAAATTTTTTTCTCTAAAATTTTTGGGGATTGTTTTCAATTGCATATGTAGCAGAGAAACATTAAGCTACAATAATATGCTTAGCCTACATGTAATTTGTTGATCTAAATATATTCTTTTATCTTCAGAGGCATTTCATTAAAATATTACAAACATTTCCTAAGTAAACCGATGAAGAATTCATGCAATTTTCATTTTATGACACCTACATGGGTTAAAGGAATATTCATATCTCAAGTTTGTAGACCTTATCTTAAGGAAACTTGCATTACACAGAAATGATTTTAGAATTTTACCACCCCTTATTAAATAATCAAATCAACCTCAGAAAGCCAATTTAAACATTACTGAAACATGATTCAACTGTGGTCTGTGTACCCATGTTATAACTTTTGGACACATCAAATGCACTCTTCATCACTTCTTATCAGAACTTATGTGGTAACCCCTGATAAATTGGCCCAGCCTTTGTGTAAGAGTGGTTAATGTTTACTAAGTGGCACTTAAAGTGACCAAGTTCATGCTGACCACCCTTTGTTATCTGTTATCTCAGATTTTATTTGTCATGTTTATGCAATTTCTGTCCACCAGATGAGTGCATACAATAACTAAAAGCCTAAGTTAATATATTGTCATTGAAGTTGTATTATATATTGCCTAAGATATCAATAAATGCAAAAATTAAATAAAATTTGAATATATTGTATAGACCTTTTGCATTAATTTGGAGTCGAATTGTTATATAACCTGAGTTGGGATTTCATTCTTCCAGTCGGTTTTCCCTGTCTGTGTTTATCGGTTATCTGGATGGACTTGCCAAGGATGCATGAATGCTTTGTTTTTAATACATATTTTTGTTGAACTTTCGCTTGGCACTCTGCATTAAAATGACATTGAAGAACTAAACCCGGTTTCATACAAATGCTAATTTAAACATAAACAAGTGATATGTAGTTCATGAGGGAATTTTTTGTCTGATGTATTAAACTTGTTTTAAGCCAGGTTCGACAAACAAATCATTATTATCTTTAGCTTTATCAAATAAATGGTTATAATATTGGCAAATGGCAATAGTATTAAATATAAATATTATTCTGAAATACATTGTAATGATATTATATATTTATTATGATAAAAGATGAAACATTTTCTGATTCTGGATTAGATTTCAAGGGAATAAAACAAGGGGAGATCTTTTAGAAACTTTATTTTTGCACTCTGAAACTATGATAATTAATAATGCTCAAAGACAGACTATTAATGATTCCTGCATGAAATACCCAGGTCTTATCTTGGCAATAACTCTTGTTGAAGGTTACCTCTTTGTTATAATGGCTTCATACATTGCACCTATTTGTTTCCATGTTGAATTCAAAGACAAATGGTTTTGAACACAGCTAGAAAATTTTGCCAGACAAAGACATATATCTTGATAGATGTTCTTAGCTTGCTTAGTTTGTCTTGAAGGTGTATTTACTCCAGATTAGAAGATATAAACTCATTAGAATTGGACAGAGAAAAATTACGAAAAGATTATTAGAATTAAGGAAGTTAAATTGGAAGTAAAGCAAAGAGAGAAATTTTACACAAAATGTTGTTACAAAAATATCATTCATGATTAGGTAATCATGCACTAGGGTGATACGAATTTAAAATAACTTTAATATTGCTACAGGTCCTCCTGTAGAATTTAATTAAATGAATGTCTAGATGAGGGAAATACCAATGTCTGTAGAAAGAATTATATTAAAGCTAGGAACTGCTGATTTCACTGCACTTTGGCAGAAGGAAGTGAAATTTATAACAGGTCGTTAGTTATCTGGATCAGTCTGGAAGTTTGCAGGAAGTTAATTTATTGCAATGTGATTCATTAAGAAAATTAACTACAGAGGCCCTCCCCTCTCGCCAAATGCTGACTCAGATTCCAAAACGCAGGTATTTGCTACAGTGTGTATATATAATATGTGTGTAAATGTTTCTCTGGCTCTCAACGACCGACCTCTCACTTCAAAAGAAAATGAGAAGATTCCTGTTTGTTCGGAAGACTTTGGAACATTACATCATACCACAGTACGCTTCTGTATTTAGCTGATGGAGAGAATTTTTTTTATAACAAAAAGCCATGTATTTAGTCTGAAAGTTCATCTTTGTTGAGCGAAAGTTAAAATGCCAGGTTTGTTGGTCTTTTAATGGGGTGGTATTTCACATGGCGATTATATCAACTCTTATTGGCAACCTGTTAGTCTGCGATGTGTTTCCTCTTACATCACAGGAAAGATAATGCTCTCTGATTTATTCTTGCACATTTAAACTTCTGAAGCACTTGCTCTACAGTGCATCAACATGATCATTTCGAAATTGCTTCTTTGAGATGTAGAGTAAATTCACAGCCTCTGTTCCTGTATTAGCTCATCCTTTAAGACAATTGTGAAACTTTGAATCATTACTGCCTTCCTGTGCCAAATTTTTTTATGGGCTGTGAGTAATTTCCAATTCATTAATTAAGGGGGGAGGAAGAAATTTATTCTATATGTACACATAATTACATAAGTTAATTATTTTACGATGAAGGCATGACTAAGGCATGTCTTTTCAGTGATGCAGTATATATTATCCATGATCCAAATCCTGCACATAAATTCATTGAAAGACATTGTCTGACTACAACATTCTAGGATGTACTGTATCATTCATTCTTGAAATGTGAAGAATATATGGGGGAAGAGAGAATAATGCATGTTGATGCATGCTATCTGCAGATGCAACTAGTTCTGTCCATAAAACTTATTCATGAGGTTGATCAATTCTACTTACTGAGCTTTGATATCAAGTTTGCTTCTCCTCTGTTGAGAGAAGAAAATCTATGCAAGGATAATCTCTCCAATTTTGCCTCCTCTTCTTACCTTAATTAACAAAGTAAGGTCAAGGTGAAATAGAATATAATGGATTAAAGTAGTTTACCATTAACATTGTCAAAGTTCATCAATATAACCAAGGCATCTTCACTGCTCCTCATCAGCATAGGCTTGGCAGTGTTCGTTTAATTTTCACTAATTAAGGTCATGATCCTTGTTTTCCTCAGATAAATGAAATCTAGCGTAAATCTAATATGCCTGTGGGAGGCAACAGAGAAATTGTTTATTGTCTGGACTTGAAGTTTTGAGAAATTAGATTATACTGAGCAAGGTGTAGGGGATTAACATATAAATTGATTCATCATTTGAAATTGAGTTTGCTGTTGATACAGATCTATATACGCTAAATATTCGTATCTGAAAAATTGAATATACTTTAAGTATTATAAACTTTATTTTATTTTTTCCTCCATTGTTTATTTGTGAGTGATCTTTTGTTTCAGTTGGTAACTTTTTGCTTGTTCTGATCATGAACAACTTATCAAACTTGCCATGGTGCTAAAGATCCAGACTTTCCAAACAAAAATTGAATTCAGGAAAGTTGAATTTAAATTGGGGTCATCTGCAATCTCTTCTCTTCCATACTTTTCAAGCACAATATATACCTTTTTTTATAATTTGAACTGGTTAGGTCAAAGTCAATTCATTCCATGCATTACAGCTAAGGACACTACTTGAAACACTACTGTCGAATAATGCTCACATTTATTATAGGCATATCTATTAAGGTACATGTGCACTTCCTCTCAAATACCTTTGAATTTGAAATTTAATGAAACTTTCACATGTTTCATCTTTATAGAAAGAACATATTGCCATTGTACACCTAGTAAATCTCATTATAAAAGTTTAGCCTAAATTTATTTTTAATTTTATATTTTTTTTGATACAAACATTTTTTGGGTTTTCATGTCAC